TCATCATAACAAGAAAGAAACGAAGAGAACACGAAACTTGGAGCACACGAAACATTTATTGAAAATGTCTGGTGACATCTTTGAAATAAACACTGTGAACGGAAGGAAGGAAACTCATTCATTTCCGAATCTCTCTTTCGAGCAGTTATTCACTTTTGCCATAAGTTTATTAATTTTATTCAGATCGACACCTGCAATACTACATGCATTCGAACCTCAATTAAATGGCAACGTAGCCTATATTTTGGAACGAAATTCATTGCTAACCGAACTTTTGTGGATGTTCAATGAAAATCGAAAAATTGCGCCAATTTAAAATTTTCTAATAGCAACCAATACATAAGACCACCTCCAAACCGCCAACACTATCATGGAATGATTTTCGCCAGTCAGACAGGTTCCAATCTCACGTTTCGTAGGCGAAGCGGTACGAAGTCAACTCATCTTCAGTCCAGGCCATGTCTGAGGCGGAAATTTCCCAAAACCATTAGCCGAAAACGGAGGGAGGGATCCACCATATCGCAAAATTTCGAATACGACCGCGACACTTGTTGTTTCAACCAAAAGAACCTCGTTAGGTCTTTCGGTTATTTTTAACTTTAGCTGGAGGAATACTTTCTCTGTGTCTGCTACTATGATTATCGATGGGATTGTGAATCTCAATCAGATACCACACAAATCTGGTCCTGAATACAAACATTCGTTTAGCACCTTTTGTCCATTCTTTGCTCTGGCTGAAACATCAAAAACGATTGTTAGCTTGGTTGTAGTCTTTCTTGGTGTTAGAACTGGATGTCGGGAAAAATAATGAAGCGGACCATTCGCTTTTTTATCTTCCGAAACTTCCTCAATTATGCCTAATAAACGCTCTTGTTCTCGTAAATTACCCTCACACATCTTCAATAGACCTGGTTTAAACTCTAATCTTCTCATTAATGATATCAAACCACCTAAGCATAATCCATAATTACGTAGTAGTACCTGCGAGCCTTCTTAACTACGGTAACTAGCCACGCCCA